TTGTTATTTATTTTATTCTGAAGTAAAATCTGTTTTTTTTTTGTTTGGACGTCAATAAATACTGTGTTTGACTACAATTTTTTACTGTTATGCTTCGGTGAAAGAAAGATCTCAAGAAAAGGAAAATATAATCTGAGCCCTCTTATGTAATAAATTCAAAACATGAACCATTTCTGTGAAAACTTTGGCAGGGTTCTCTAATGTCATATTTGTTAAAGAGATATGGCCCATGGGCCATTGCACTCGTGTCAAATCCATTTGAGTCGGGCAATACAATTTTTTTTTCTTTTTTACAATCCAACTCTAAGCTTCGCTCACTTACCAAATTCATCTACCAAGAGACAAATTTATAAAGGATTTATAGTCTGTAAGACTGTAACATGTATATATAATTATATATGATGCATTTGTTGGCGTTTACAAGTTTTAAATCACAAATGGCCTGATTGAAAAAATTGCATACATGAATCATAAGTTTGTCTCTGACCAATGCGAGTACTATTTGCATTGATAAAATATTGTAGTTAGGCTTAAAATGCTAAGGAATAAATATACTATAAAATTTTAATTTTGATTTTCTTTGTTTTTATTTAATTTTTGTTTTTTGACCAAAAAAAGGCTAAGGAAAACCAAAATTGAAATTTTATTTTATTATTTAGATAAATCTCAAAAAAGAAACTAAATATTATTTATTTTTGTGACATTTATCCTTTTTAATCTTTATTTTAGTAAAAAGAAAGAAGGAATGGTGGCGCCGGAAAGTGACCGTAGGGACAGTCATTTACATTCTCAGCGTTTCTCTTTTTGGTCCTCAAATCTTCACCTACAAGATCTTCTTCCCTCAATCTCCGATTTCAAATCTCGCTTCTCCGTTCAAGCAACCTCCGAATTCGTAGAGTATAACCAGGAATTAGTAGTCGGAGAAGCGATTTCTGCTTCGATCTCTAAATCCGAAGTTCCGATCTGACGAAATCTAGGGTTTTCTCATCTGGGTCGAAGTTAAAGTGGAAAAAGGTTTCGAATTTGGCGTTAGAATGGCGGAATCTGGTGGAAGCTGGCGAGATTCTTATAAAGGAATGTCGTCTGATAACATCAAGGGTTTGGTTTTAGCATTGTCTTCTAGTTTGTTCATTGGTGCTAGTTTCATTGTTAAGAAGAAAGGGCTTAAGAAAGCTGCGAGCACTGGCACTAGGGCAGGTATAAATCTCTTTCTTAAAATCGAATTTTGGTTTCTGGGTTTCGATTTTGGTGCTGGAATTGTGGATTTAGAGTGTGCAGAATTATGTTCAACTCAACAAGCAGCTAACAGATTTGGGATCTCTAATTGTAATTGAACTTATCAGGATTCAATTAGCTAGCTATTCAGAGGTTGTGAACAGATAGGAGATTTTGTGTTTCCTCTGTTGAACTTCACTTTATAGTTAATAGCCACATTGCTTCAAGACTGTGTGTAAATGTTGTTCCTTTAGGTTTCCTTTGGTTCACGAAAGGTAACAGACTGTGTTTGTAGGTGTTGGTGGGTATTCTTATCTCTACGAGCCCCTTTGGTGGATCGGCATGACGACAAGTGAGTATTGTTTGTTCCTTGGTGTTTGCTTTTTCTTCTTCTTTCTTAGTGATTGATTACTATGTTGTTGGTTTATCTATTGCTCATTGGTTTCTGCTTCTTTCAGTGTTACTTGGTGAAATTGCCAATTTCGCTGCTTATGCATTTGCGCCGGCTATACTTGTCACTCCTCTAGGTGCTGTCAGTATCATTATCAGGTACGAGAGTGCCCATGTCTCTGACTCTTCTATATGGTTTTCTATATACGTTTAAATCGGTGATTTTTCTTTCTTTCTCATACACTTTGTTCTCTGAATCTCAGTGCTGTCTTAGCTCATATTATATTACGGGAAAAACTACACATCTTTGGAATTCTTGGCTGTGCCTTATGTGTTGTGGGTTCCACAACTATTGTCTTACATGCCCCTCAAGAACAAGAAATTGATTCTGTGATTGAAGTTTGGAATCTTGCAACAGAACCAGGTGCGTTGCTTGATGGGACTCTCATACTCCAGTGTTTGGGAGATAGTACTTTGTACCATCTCACGAATTTTTCCCCCCTTTCATTGTAAGTTTCTAACTTCATCTAGTTTAATTGCAGCCTTCATGTTCTATGCGAGTCTGGTAATTGGGGCTGCTGTATTTCTCATTATCCGTTTTGCCCCCCTATATGGGCAAACAAACGTAATGGTTTATATTGGTATTTGCTCGCTTGTGGGATCATTATCGGTATGTAGTTTTTGGTATTTTCAGTTTGTAATCCCATATTTCTTTAAAAAGAATCTTAATTCACTTTACCGATAATGATATTGTCAAATATGTTAACAGGTCATGAGTGTAAAAGCACTTGGAATAGCATTAAAGCTGACATTTTCTGGAACAAATCAGTTATTTTATCCACAAA